TATATATCGCTTTTAAAATTATTTTGTATTAAATATATTTATATAAAATCATAGTGATATTTTCGGGTATCTGCAAATATCGTATCGAATAGCATCGAAAAGTTTCTTCGAAATCAGACCGAGATTCCGAAAGTTTTCTTGTCATAAAGTTTTCTTGCCATTAAGTATATCCATAAGTATATCCGAGTGCCCGATAGGAGTAAGCGAATTCTAGCAATTCAAATCAAGATTCTAAAAGTAACTTGCCAATAATAATGTATAAGCACTCGAAATTACAGATATTCGATCATATTACATAAGAAGAAACATTCAAAATTCTATCTAGTCTCAACTCAATAAAATCTCGATTTGATTTAAGTCTTAAATATTCGCACACTCTCTTAAGAATCGTATATGAACATATCTAATAATATATGTTTGTGCATTTACACATATATCCTTTTACCATCGCCACCGAGATATCAGAGACCTCTACATTCTATTGATTCTTTTAAAAGTTTTTCCTAACATACTACTACATAGCTATATACTCAATATCTCTTACATAATTCTAATAATGGTGGAAAGTTTCAACTTAATGCTTATATGAATATTATAAATTTGTTAATATGTCACAACACACTCAATACTATATTTTAATATTATTATTATAAATAACTTATGCAGGAGCAGACATGCAAAAGTTATAGAGTTGAGAAAGATTCATTTGGAGAAATGAAAGTACCAGCAGATAAGTATTATGGTATTCAAACTCTTCGGGCAATAATAAATTTTCCAATTGGTGATACATTCGAGCGTATACCTGTAAGAAATAGCAATATTATACATTTCAATATATTTTCTTCATTTTTTTATATTTGACATAATTAGTATAAATAATTTTCCAGTTCAGGCTGATAGTTGCTTTGGGTATAATAAAAAAAGCTGCTGCAGAAGTGAATAAAGAATATAATTTGGACCCTAAAATTGCCGATGCCATTTGCAAAGCTGCAGATGAAGTAATAAGTGGAAAGTTATATAATCACTTTCCCTTAATTATTTGGCAAACTGGATCTGGCACACAAACTCACATGAATGCCAACGAGGTTAAATATCACTTTAATTTTAATTATATTATTATTTAATTAGTATATTACAGACTATTGAAATAATAATAAAATGTTTATTTTACTAAGAAAATTTATTAAAAATGCTTAGGTTATTGCCAATCGTGCGATAGAAATACTTGGTGGTGAACTTGGCTCAAAAAAACCTGTGCATCCAAATGATCACGTTAATATGTCACAAAGTACTAATGACATGTTTTCATCAGCTATGAATATAGCTCTTGCCTTAGAGATTCATAAATCATTAATCCCAGGCTTAATACAATTGTGTAGAGCGTTAAACAAGAAATCTGAAGAATGGGAAAATATTATAAAAATTGGTAGAACACATCTGCAAGATGCGGTGCCGTTGACATTGGGTCAAGAATTTTCAGGTTTAAATTTAAGCAAAATTTATGCAAAATATTTTAATTAATTTTAACATTTCACAAATGTATTCAAATATTTAATTTTACCTTAAAGGATATGCCATGCAGATCGAAAATGGTATTGAGAGAGTGAAAGGTACACTTCCAAGATTGTATGAATTAGCTGTCGGTGGTACAGCAGTCGGAACTGGATTAAATGCGCGAAAAGGCTTTGCGGAAAAGACAGTTGCAAAAATCGCGCAACTCACTAGTTTACCGTTTGTTCCTGCTCCAAATAAGTTTGAAGCTATGGCTTCGCATGATGATATTGTCGAAGTACATGGTGCTTTTAATACAGTGGCTGTTTCTCTCATGAAGGTACACATTTATGTATACAATTATTACAAAAACATATTTTTTAATAACTTCTATTCTACACGGATCTCTTTTGCATATAATCTATGTAGATCGCAAATGACATTAGACTTCTTGCAAGTGGACCCAGATGTGGTTTAGGTGAGTTATCTCTTCCAGAAAACGAACCTGGAAGTTCTATTATGCCTGGGAAAGTTAATCCTACGCAGATTGAATCAGTGACTATGGTGTGTTGTCAAGTAATGGGTAATAATGTGGCGATAAGTATCGGTGGCAGTAATGGTCACTTTGAACTTAATGTTTTTAAGCCGCTTATCATTGCCAATGCTTTAAGATCGGCAAGGCTTTTAGGTGATGTTTGCACCACTTTCGTAAAAAATTGTGTTGAAGGTATTGTTCCAAATATTGAAAATATAAAACGAAACGTTAGTGAAAGTTTGATGCTTGTCACAGCATTAAATCCATATATTGGTTATGATAAGGTACATATTTCTTCTCTTTTATATATCTCTATTTCTATTTTTCTACATAAATATGTAAAGAAAGCGCATAAAGAAAAAATTACACTAAAAGAATCTGCATTGAAACATGGAATAACGGCGGAACAGTTTGATCAGTGGGTTAAACCCGAACAAATGCTTGGTCCGAAATAATTTTCATATTAAAAATATTTATTAGGGATATAAACACTAATTCGTTCATCTTAGCATATATTTCTATCAGTAGAATCTAATATGAAGAAATATTAATGGATGCACAACAGAACAAAATATTTATATCTTTGCATAATTTTATCTCCATATTCAAAATTAGTAATATCAATATATATACTCATGGTATTATCAATATACAATCTCTTTATGATTCATTATACATTTAAAATCAAATTTAATAAAGATAATTGCTTAATCAATATTTATAGTTTTAATTATAATATTTATAGTTTATCGATTTATTTATGATTACTTCATTTAAAACAATTAATTTATTTACAATTAACGATTAAATTCTTAATTATTAATTGCAATTAATAAAATTAATTTTTCTTTACTTGTTATATATATTATTATTAATTTACACACACACACACACACACGCGCGTGCGCGCACACACGCATACACACACACACACACGCACACGTAGTTATGTATAAACGGATCAAAATATCGAGAAAAGATTTTGGAAAATTAAGTAATAGAAATCTTAGTGTTTATTATTCCGAGCAGTAAAGAAAGTTTTTTTGAACTATAAAACTTTTGTTAACATCACAGGTTACATCTACACTCTACACAGCTGCTAGACTATGAATTGCACGTAGCGACAGTGATTGAGCACACTTACTGATGCTAACTAAAAAATTGTGCGTATATTAATTTGCGATCAATATTTTTATATAAATGTTCAAAGTTAAATCTATATCAGCATATAATACATATAATATTCACGTATGTGCACATGTATACGTCGTAGCCAGATTACAAAATCCGTCGTTTTATAAAACGTATAGGCATTTTATAAAGTGCGGTCACATTCTCAAATCATGGTTGAAAATGAAATGTTTTACAATCTGAGTAAGAATTTTAGTCTTTTTTATAAAACGCTAACAAGCGACCCGCCACATTGTCAAACGATTGGCAACGATTTGTACATCGTCTTAGATTTTGACTAATTTTGAGTTCAGATTTTCGAAATGACACAATATGATGGAAAATTATTCCAAGTTCGAGGTGCGCGCAATTATCAAATTTTTGCACGCAGAAAGCGCGAATCAGTGTGTGAGATTCATCGTTAAGATAGTGAATATTTATGACCAGAATGATTTTTTCAACTTAAACAATTATATTATTCTTTCAAACAATTTTATTGTTCTCTTTAGATAATATTCTTGTTTCATTAAAAAGATTTATTATGTTGCTTTGAACAATTTAAATAAAGCCTAAAACAAGTTACATAAAGTTAAATTGCATGTTACTGCATCTTTCTAATCAAATCTTCGCGGCATCTTAGGGCCATGGCATGTAGAAAAACTTAACTTTACTTACACTGAGAAAAAAAGGTCAAATCAAAAAATTTTTTTTTTATCCAACTATATGCGGCGGTCACAGGCTGTCAAGCAAATATTTGTTAATCTGTAAAAAATAATATGTCTCGATAGATACAGTAATGAATTTGTACCAAAAGAAATATTTAGTTGACCTAACAGAATTAAATTATGTATAAATAAATAAATATATATAT